CCCCCCCCCCCCCCCTCTGGTATTAAGCGGACACCTTCGGGACCTTCCCAAGTGTCCGCTTTTTATAGAGGTTCGTAAAAATTGCGCAATGCTTGTTAACGATTAACATTCAACAGTTACTCTGTACTTTGATTAAGCCATGTTGTTGAGGAAACTATGGAAGCTAAGGAAGCTTAAATGCTGTACTTTGCGCAACACTTTAGGTGAACTTTGATCGCGGATGCCGATTATACTGCCGGATATCGGTGTAATATGCAGTTAATTGACCTCTAAATGTATTTATTTATCTCTATTAATCGACTACAGTACGTATTTCAAGGAAGTAATCCAATACTACCTCTCCTTAATTTTTTTCAGTTTGTAATTATGCCTGAAACTACAATGAAGGTCACCAAGGATACAGTTACAATTAAAGAGCTAAAAGACTGGTGGACAAACTGTTCAACTAAAAGATGCTGATCCAAATGAGCTTCAGCTTTTTTTTGAAAAAATGCCCGTCCCAATCAAAGGTGAGAGTGTTAAAAGTAATTTCCAAACTTTTGTTTAAGTTTTGGTTTTGGAATAAAGAGGTACATGGTTGAACCTCTGTACAAATGTATGGAAACAGGCAGATCTTCAGTTCCTCCCAGCGAGCGACGCCAAACTTCCGTAAGTTGCGAGCAAAATGCTTTCCCGGTTTGCTGCCGTAACAAACTAAGAAATTTCACAACTAATCATACAAGCTATTCCCAAAATACATGAAAAAGGTGACGAAGTTCGGTTTGGAAGTTTAACAGGTAAATCTTTGTCTTTTTGACTTAAATTTATCGATAAAACCGGTGAAAAAGTTTTTTGTTTACACATGCAAATTAAGCCTTGCGTTACTTAATTTTGTTGACTTGTTCATAAATAAGCTGAAAAGTAAATTTAATAATCTTTTTTTACAGAATGATTTTAAATACAAAAAGAATTCACAACTCCTTTTGAAGAAACTTCCCCGCAAGAGCTATACAAACGCCTGCAAAAGTTTTATTTGTCGCTAAGAAAAAGCGATGACCGCGGCCGTTCGGTCATCGTGCGCCAAAATTGTAATCGTTGGCAACAGTAAATGAGTTAAAAATCATCACTTTTGTGCTCAATTATCTCACTGTTTTAGTATATACTAAAACAATTATTCACCTCAGTGTCGGTGGCTAGTAGTGGTATTTACCTCGCCGCTTCGCGGCCTCGGTAAATACCACCACCTCCACTTCGGTGAATAATTGTTATATAACAAGACAGAATATTAACGCTTACAAATTTTGTCAACCGGGAATCTTCGCGTCAAAACATTGCTCGCTGTTAACAGTGTCAAGAGGGGTAGACTACTAAAACAACATTGATCTTCTTAAAAGCAACAAAGAAAGTAGAGCATGATATCCGGCTGGCCCCTATTCTAGTGATTTGGAGTAAAAAAAAAATCAGATCATATTTGACTAAATGAAAAGCTAAATGAAAGCTAAGACTAAATGAAAGCTTTGAGTCAACTGCATTAGTCTGAAATTTACAAATCGATTGATGCGAATTGCTTCCTCGCCTCATTTTTCTCGCGTGCTGGCGGTTCCGCCGCCAAAATTTCCCCTCAGATCCTGACTCGTCCTCAGTTGCTGTAGTTTTCTTATCAAAAATGTCGTTTACTTCATAGAAAGTGCTTTGTACGGGGTTATATTCACGAGCTGTTTATGTCAAAACCCGAACGAGCAAGGTACGAGCCAGTGAGGGCTTTTGACACAAACAAGTCGTGAATATGACCCCGTGCAAAGCGCTTTCTAAGACGTGAGCTGTTTATTACACATATTAGGAGAGTTTTCACTGAAATAGTTTTCTTAATGTAACACATAAGCTTATTACTATTAAAAGAGCAAATCACAAATGCTGACATGCAAATGCAAATTTAATAGCCATGGCAAATCTCGCAGCACATCCTTAGTCCTCATCGTGCAGAACAGAAAATGCACTTACAAAAGTTTATTCTAGTGTGACGTTACAAAAGACAGACCTCAGCGATGTGGGCTCGTATAGAGGAATTCACGCTCATAGTTGCATCATAGGTAATCAGGGCAAGATGGAGGGAAATTCAAAGATTTGTATTGGAATTCAATATATTTGATGTTTTCTCTTTAAAAAGAGTAACTTACGATTCAAAGAAACAATACACTAACTCTGGAGCTAAAAAGTGCAAAGAAGTCCGTCGGATCAGTTTTTAGAAAACCTTGATTTTCCCATATACATTTTCTTTATTTCTACAGTATCAAAATTACAGAAAATGTTAGAAAAGTTGAGATTTTCTAAAAACTGATCACGGACGTCTTTGCACTCCAGATTTAGTGTATTGTTTTTTGAAAACTCTTCGCAAGTTCCTCTTTTTAAAAGAAACAAAAGCTGAAGTATTTTGGCCAGTGTAAAGGAATAAGGACTTGGGAAAGATCATCTTGGAGGGAAACAAAGATGAGAAAAGGAGAGAGGAAGACCGATAAAGTAGTGGGGAGGGGACATGTCACTAACAGAAGTAGGAAGATTGGCAATTGATAAAAACTGTTTCCGCTGTGCGGTAAAAGATGCAATGTCCTATGGGATAAGCAGTTAAGAGTTAAAAATGTGAGCGTGATTTTTAATTTCGGACTGGAACGTGTCGAAACGTTTTTATATCAAATCGACTGATGTATCGAAACGCCCAGTAACCTTTATTAAGATTCATTTGAACGAAAAAATGAGAGCTCGTTAATTCAAAGAAGGAACTATTCTTGGACACACTCTTGAATGTTCACACGAGTGTAGCTAAATGTCGTGGGTCGTGGGTGTGGGTCGTGGGTCGTCGGTGTGGGTAAATGTCGTGGGCAAAAAAAAGTATAATGAAAAAGAAAAAGATAAAGTAAAGTAATTGAAAAAAAAGCAAATAGAAAAAAGTTGTAAAATATTTATGAAACGAAAATCTCTAACTCCTTGATTGCCTTTTTCGTCACGGCTTCTTCTTCGTCCTCTTCCTGATATTTCCTTAGCTACGTGGGACTTGGCTCCCCTTTCACAACATTACTGTATAAAAGACATGTTGCCGATGAAGATTTATCCATACCTGAGCTATCGCGGCGAAATAAACGAAATAGACGTAAATTACACCGGCAATTTGAAGAAAGTATGGGACAGCTCAAAATCGCTGAATGGAAATAGCTGCTCACTATTAATCTTTATTCGATCTGCAATTCCAATGATCAGCGCAGATTTTTTAACACGATGGAATGCAATCACCGTGATAAAGGGGAGGGAAAAATGACCCATTATTGACTCGGCGCGATAATGGGTTTTATGATGAGGCGGGGCATTATCTTATCTTTAAGTGCAAGCTGCAGAGGTGGATAGTCAAGATAACGATAGTTGGCTAGGCACCACACACAGAGCGGGCTATAAATTCGTGAGCTTCGCTATCGCTCGCCCCTTTTTCTGCCAACGCCGATCGTGAGCTGTTTAGCTTTTCAATAGTGAACTTATTTCTTTCTCCGAAGGAACAAGCCACCAAACAATCAGGCAAGTGCAATTTTTCCCCCATCCCTGTTTGTTTTTTGTATTCAGGTAGCTTTTCATTTTATTTTATTTTTTTTCCTTTTTCTTGTTGGGGCGCCCTAGCTGAGGACTCTGTTTGTTTTTCCTTAGCGCCCGCTAATTTTCCAAATATTTTCTTTAACCTAATGGCTAAACAGCGCGTATTAATAATAGGGCACTCCTTTTTTCATCGTCTTAAGGCGTTTGTGCAGAAAAAGAGGCACATGCAGGCTTTTAGCAGCCTTAGGGGTATGGCAGATATTTATTTTCATGGAGTTGGCGGCCGCACGATAGCAAAATTTCGTAAATTCGACTTTAATGTGGTGCGCCAACTGGTCCCAGATGTGATTATTTTGGAGCTCGGCTCCAACGATTTGGTGGAGCTCTCGCCGCAGACAGTGGGTTCAGAACTGGAAAGTTTAGTTCGGGAACTGTACGAGATTGACTCTGTTCAATTTGTTGTCGTGGGGCAAGTTCTCCGTAGGCATACACCGAACTCGGTCGAGTATAATTGTAAGGTAGGCAAGCTTCACCAATATCTTAAGGTTGTCCTAGAGCCGTTGCCTTTTTGTTATTACTGGCGGCATAGAGGTTTCTGGAAATCCAAAAGCGAACTCTTCTTACCCGATGGAGTCCATCTTAACAATTTAGGTAACTATAAATTTATGCGCAGCATTCGAGGGGCGGTTTTGCAGGCCTTAAAGTTAGTGGGTGCGTCCATAGTTTAGTCAATGCTGTGCCCTGTAGTGGCCAGTTCGATATTTAAATGGCGATGTTATAATACATTTATGAGATGCTGTGTCACATGTACATTTACAACTTTGCAGGCTATATCATATGTCATCAGGCATTTTAAATGCATTCTTGTGGCATGTTTTGTACTTGACATTTATGGCTATTTTGGTGTGTTACTCTCCTGGCGGCTATTGTTTACTACATTAGTGTGCCCAACTCACTAAAGCCATTATAGGACAAATGTCCTTTTTACAATGTCTCGGATTATTTTTTGTCATTATGTTGCCTGCTCTTGATTTGCACTTGACATTCTTTGGCTTCCGTTTTTTACTTGGAGCCTCGTTGGAGCGTGTTTAGCCCAACTCTCGTACGCCATTGTGGAATGTCTCGGATGTCTTTTTCGTCACTTAGACGCGTTTCCGTTTCAATTTACAATCGCCATGGGCTCAATGAAAGCCCGCCAAAAACCAAGGAACACACCCACTAAGTTTGAGGGTATCACAAGATTTTTAATTTTTGTTGGAGTAATATAGTGTACATTTTTCATAAGAATGCCTCCTAAACGAGCATCAAAGCGCCAGGCAGCAAAAAGACCAGCCCCTGCAGTCGCACCAAAACAACACCGGGCAGAAAGTCGCCCTAATTCCACGGCCCTGCCGGAGAGCTCAGCACAGCCACCGGAGTCCTCCTCGCAATTAAGCCCCACCGAGCTTGGGGCAATAATTTCCCAAGCTATCTCGGGCGCGTTGCAGTCAGTCGGCATCGTCCAAACAAACCTTGCTCCCGCGGAAAGGAATTCAAGAACGAACACCCAGCCCACGCCCCAGCCCACCGTGGTTGAGGACGCCACATCAAAGGAAATCGAGGCATTGACGAACACCGTGGCTGCTGGTAGGCTAACCTTTCCGACTGAGAAACCAGAAGAAACGTTTTCGAGCGTCACTTTCGACCTCGAATCTCGGGTCTCAGATCGTGTCAAGGCAAAGATTTGGGCGAACGAATATGTAGATTTTGGGTCACTCCTCACGGTGTCCCCGGACGAGTCAAAGTATCGTATATCTGTCACGGATGATCACGATCACCCTAGTCTTTGCCTTGAGCACGTTAAAACAAAGCGGCGTAGCTTAACTATCGACCAATGGCTGACCGCGTTTAATGTATTCGTAGCTGTTTATACAATTAAGACTCCTAGTGCGATAAGCTCCCTAATGAAGTATTGTGAGGTGGTTCGGGACATCGCAGCAAAGCAAGGTAATTGGCGTTATTATGACGAACAATTCCGCTTTCTTCGTCAATCAAAACCGGACAGATACCCTTGGGACAACGTAGCTTGGGAATTGTGGCATCAGGCCTTACATAGCTCCCTTACCACCTCTCGGCCAAACTCTAACAATGATTTTCGAACCCGTCGGCCCAACCAGCGTCCCTTTCAGTCTTTTCCCAAGGGAGTGTGTTGGCGGTTTCATGCCGGTCAATTCTGCAGGGGATGCAATTTCAAACACTCCTGCTTCAAATGCGGATCTGTCCACCCAGCGTCCCAATGTACCGCTACCAGATCTAACACAAACAACCGTCCAGCACCAAACCTGCCCTCCGGGAGTGACAGTCAGGGACGAGCTTCTGTTGAGCCGCGGGCCAACCCCGGTAAAGCCCGTCCAACTCGCGTTTTACCTTAGGGGTTATAATAACCCCATTTCCGACTATCTTATACAAGGCTTTGTTCACGGTTTTTCCATACGATATTTAGGTTCTTTAATTGCAATGCGATCCCAAAATCTTAAAAGTGCCAAGGACAATCCGACTAGCGTGACTGAGAAGTTGTCTAAGGAGCTCACAGCAGGCAGAATTGTAGGTCCATTCGACGTACCACCTTTCGACCCCTTTAGGGTATCCCCCCTGGGCATTATTCCCAAAAAGTCTCCGGGCGAATTCAGGTTAATTCACCATCTCTCCTACCCGGCTGGGTCATCGGTTAATGATGGTATCCCTAAAGAGCTAGCCACCGTGAGATATGCAACCATTGATGATGCCATTCGTCTTATTAAATCGTTAGGGAAGGGCTGTTTTCTGGCGAAAACAGACATTAAATCAGCTTTCCGAATTATTCCCGTATCCCCCCACGATTTTCCGTTGCTCGGCATGGAATGGCAGGGAAAGTTCTATTTTGACAAATGCCTTCCCATGGGGTGCTCCTCGTCGTGTAATATATTTGAAACCTTCAGCACTGCGTTAGAATGGATCGCTATGAACAAACTAAACGCGTCGGCGGTCATACACATTTTAGACGACTTTTTATTTATTGCGCCCTCTAACGAAAAATGTCAAGGAGACCTCAATAATTTTCTTACTGTTTGCCAACGTATAGGCATTCCGATCGCCAACGAAAAGACTATGGGGCCTGACAGAGCTTTACAATTTGCAGGCATCACTTTAGATACCGAATTGATGGAGGCTCGCCTTCCTGAGGAAAAACTTGACAAATGCCTATCCCAGTTGAGCTACTTTTGTTCGCGTAAAAGCGTTACTTTAAAAGAGCTGCAGTCATTAATAGGGCTTCTCAATTTTGCCTGCTGTGTTGTGGTGCCCGGACGCGCTTTTCTCCGCCGTTTAATTGACTTGACAAGAGGCGTCCGGAAACCTACCCATCACGTTAGATTAACAAGGGAAAGTAAATATGATCTACAAGTTTGGCTCAATTTTTTGCGATCGTATAACGGCAAATCCTTTTTCCTCGGCTCACGCTGGTACACTTCCAAAACCCTCAAATTATTTACGGACGCGGCGGGTTCCCTTGGTTATGCCGCGATATTTGGAAAGCACTGGTTTTTCGGGGAATGGCCTGCCGTTTGGAAAACATTTAACATCACTATCTTAGAGTTCTTTCCTATTGTCCTGGCAATCGAAATTTGGGGACCGCTTATGCGCAACAAATGTATTGTTTTCTTTTCGGATAACCAAGCAGTGGTTGAAATAATCAATAAGCAAACTTCTAAGGACCGTTCAATCATGGTTCTACTCAGGCACTTTGTTCTTTCCACACTCAAATACAATATTTTGTTTCATGCTAAGCATATCGCTGGTTGCATTAACCGCGAAAGCGATGCTTTATCTCGCCTACAGGTAGAGAAATTCAGATTACTAGCACCTTCCGCAGACCCACAACCGACGCCGGTTCCGGGGGGCCTACTACCCAAGAACCGGCACATCACTTGACCGAGCTTCTGCACTCAGCCATTACGAAGGGATCACGTAGGACTTATGAACGAGCGTGGAAGACATATGTCGAGTTTTCCTCTGAATTTTGCGATTCTCGCCGCTCGTTGCTTCCAGTCTCCGTCAACAATTTAGTGTTGTTTATATCTTATCCTTCAGCGAAGAAGTTTGCATCCTCCACAATCTCGACATACGTCTCTGCGTTAAGTTACGTCCACAAACTTGGTTATTTCCCGGATCCCACCAAAAATTTTTTAGTGCAGAAGCTTTTAACGGCTCACAGTAAGCTTCACTCCTCAACGGATGTTCGGCTTCCCATAACACGCAGCGTGTTGCAGCACTTAGTGCTCGCCTTAAATCACACCAATTCATCGCATTTCAAAGATTGTTATATCAAACCATGTTTTTAGTAGCCTTCTATGGCTTTTTTCGTGTGGGTGAACTCACGGTCAAGGGCGCGAATTTGAAATCCCTGGTACACGTGCAATTCGAACAAGGTCGTGACCTCGGCGACCATTGGCCATAAAAGACTTTAACACAACACCACCAGGCGCCCCTTTTCATTGTTTTTGGAACGCGCTGAGGAATCTACGCTTTGCCCAGTGGCTTATTTACAACGCTATTTCTCTACAAGGGGTGCAACCCAAGGTCCCTTGTTTTGCTTTGCTGACGGATCTCCAGTTAAAACTGGCCAGTTTACGCAGTAGCTGCAACAAGCCTTGAATTTTTGTGGCCTTGATTCAACTAAATACAAATCTCACTCTTCCCGGATCGGCGCCGCCTCTCTAGCAGCTGAAAAAGGCTTATCGGATGCTCAAATTCGTGACCTTAGCCGTTGGAAATCCGACGCATTTAAACTATACATTCGTCAACCTACAGGAGTATCTAAGGATTAAGCTCGCCTTTCAGTCATGGGCTGGGGCAACGCATGTTTCCAGATTTTGCCTATTTTTTTATTTATTTTATTTTTTAGTTTGTCTTAGTGACTCTGACACAGCTCAGACATGGCCTGGTTGTGTCTTACTGCACGTAAGCTCGCCTTACAGACAGGGACTGGGGCAGCAATAACTTATAGATGAATCATGTTTATTTCCGGTTTTTTATTTCCGACACGGGCTGTGTTGTCTGTTACATTCCAACTTTGACATATTATTATAACTAGCTTGGGGGCTTCGAAGCTCGCCTGTCAGACTTGGGCTGGGGCGGCAATTCTCCCTTTTCAAACGGGGCAGTTGTTTAGGTACCTCTTATTTTAACTCGAAAGGTCTCCAGGAACATGTCAGAAATCGGCCTGGTGTTCCCCTTTTTTCCCTTTTCGTGTTGGGATCTTGTCTTGCGTGCGTGCCCGCGGCTTTGGTTGGGGCTCGCCACAGAATGTGGCTTGTGGCTAATTTTCGCCCCAACTTAATTCACTGAATCAAATAACTGTCATGTTACATTAAGCGATGATTCTCGGTTAACGTGACACTGTAGCACTTGCAATTGGTTTGTAATAAACGCCACTTGAGTGGCCAAATTATTCCAAATATGTGTCTCCTTCATTCAGTTAATCCTGGCTGCGTGCACGAACGCAATTATAAATATTTCAGTCTTTTGTCTATGTAGTTGGTATAACTGAGCCGCTCTCGGCATAAAACTACTTATTTGTTGTTCATCTTGTCTAGATCCCAGAAGTCATGTCCCTTGCAAAAAGACCTGGGTCTGTACATGCACCAACATGGCCTTTCAGGGTCTTTCAAGAGCTTGCTTGAACAATGGCCCTATCTTTGGCTTTTCAGTAGCACCAAGATCAATTGATAGGCACAACATCAACTTACGGCAGCAGTATCCAAGCTTGTTAAAGCAAAAAATAGAACAGTCAGTTAAGGTGCAACTGAATATGTAAATACCTGATAACTTTTATTAAGTACAAATCCATTTCNGTGGCCAAATTATTCCAAATACGTGTCTCCTTCATTCAGTGAATCCTGGCTGCGTGCACGAACGCAATTATAAATATTTCAGTCTATTGTCTATATAGTTGGTATAACTGAGCCGCTCTCGGCATAAAAGACAATTTTGAGGTATTTCATATTTTTGGATAGATTAAGTCTTTCTTAAAGAAGTTTTAGGTCTCTTACCTTAAGAAGGAACCAGCTTCATTCCCAGCCTTTCAAGTTAAGCGAGACTGTATGTAAATTTCATTGCCGTACGGAAATACAATTTTCTCGATTCGTTTTTTGTTTTGTTTTGTACTGTTTTGTGTACAAAATCTTTGCTATAACGATTCGAAATATCATTCCTTAAACTGAAAAGACGTTTTAGTCACGAATGTTGACATCTTTGAAAAAGAGAGGTTCAGTCTCCACTTTTTCTATAGCCTGCTTCAGGTTTACACAGTGTACAGAGTTTCCGTTATTTTTCACCTAAATGCCTTTTTAGTGCCCGTTAAAGGATTCGCTTATTTGTTTTGCTGACCGCGGGGAAGGGGAATAGGACTGGTATGTACGCGGAGATTTTCAGTTCATGAATTTTACAACTTTTTGCTTTTCAATTTTTTTTCAACGTTTTGCCCACGACATTTACCCACACCCACACTCACCAACCATGACCTCTACCCACTACCCACGAGCCATGACATTTAGCTACACTCAGTTTACAAGCAAGCAATATTAAGTGACAATCGGAGCGAAACGGAATTCTGAATTTCATCTTCTTCATCAGTATCTCATTTATACTTATGTGTCGCTCAGTTTCAAGAGAGAAACTCAGTGCATTTAAAATTTTCTTTGAAGTCAAAATTTTTAAGTTTTCTTTTTTAGGTGACACTTAATCAGTTCGCCCATGTTACTTGGGTGATTTTCATGATTGCCTTGTTCAGTTTTGTTTTTGATCACGAATTATCTTTTCAGAAAAAATGCAAAATCTACGCAAAGCAAATTCTCCAAGGCGAACCTCAGAGTTAGAGAGTCAGTGGAGGGATTTTCAGCGACGTGAAGAAAACTTCCAGAGACAGTACGGGAGATGCAGCAACGCGAACAGGATTTACAAAGGAAACTGTGGTCAGTAAGGAACGGTGTCAGGACTCTCAAAGCCAGCTAACGGATATTGAGCAACATGAACAAAATATGCAGCGGCTGTTGAGAGAGCTTCAGGAAAGAGAAAAAAATTCTCAAAGGCAACTGATGGAGTTTCAACAAGGTGGAGAATATTCTCAGAGGCAGCTGACGGAGTTTCAACAACGTGAAGAAAATTCTCAGAGGCAGCTGAGGGAGTTTCAACAACATGAAGAAAATTCCCAGAGGCAGCTGACGGAGTTGCACCGGCAACTGAGGGAAATAGGACAACAGTTGACCAATTGCCGAGGACAAGTTTCTGAACTACAGTTAAGTCTTTCAACAGCACAGCAAACAATAAATCAATTGCGGAACCAGGAAACACGTGACTGGGCTATTCCCCGGGACGAAATTCAAATCACAGAGAAATACCTTGGGAGGGGGGGATGGGGAATTGTCAATGAGGGAACGTATTGTGGCTGTACTGTAGCAGTGAAACAGATCCATCAGTTGATTATTTCTCCTCATAACATAAATCTGTTTGAAAGAGAAATGAATATCGCTTCTAAATGCCGCCATCCTCACTTACTACAGTTCATCGGCGCCACCAATGATGAGGGAACTCTTCTGTTTGTGACCGAGCTGATGGAGAAAAGTCTGCGCACTTTGTTGGAGCAGCGGCAACTCTCTGGGACAGAAACACACTTCCGGTAATTTGTTAGGACCGTAGGGGTTCAGATTAAGGATCTCACCACTGTTTTGCAGACGTTACTAACCGGGGTTAGATTACGTCGACGATTTAGGCTATGAAAGCCAAACCTCGTTGGATTTTTACTAACCGAGGCAGGATTAGCTCAGTCGGTAGAGCAATTGACTGAAGAGCGGAAGGTCGCGGGTTCCATTCCTGGGGCCGGACCATTACTCAGGGTCTTAAAATAACTGAGAAATGAAGGTACTTCCTTTGCACTGCAAGCGGCTAGACCTTGTCGTGTCTTGGATGACCATGGGAGATGTCGGTCCTGTCCCCAGTTGGAGACCTTAAAATAGTGTCCCCAATTAGTACTTTCGTGCTAAATACCTTGACACTCAACACTTGACACTTTAACAATATTGACTTCCTCAAATTATGTTTTATTGTTGTTAGGTTGATGTCTACAGCTTTGGTGCTCTTCTTTGCGAAATGTGCATCCGACAACTTCCAGATCCTCGAAGGCGTAAGGAACAAGTGGTGCTTGTAACGAACGGTGTGTTTCGTGGCCTGGTGCGGCGATGCCTGCAGAGAGAGCCTGAGGCGAGACCAACCATGCAGGAGATAATCGATGAACTGAAAGACTTCGATCCAACTTCTTAACTGTAAAAAGAACGGTATGCAATATGATTGAAACTCCCAGTTTTTAAGAACTTCCCGTCGAAAAAAAATTAGAAAAGTAGGAACAGTTTTGCTTGAACCTTTTTTTTGCTGAATTTTTGGACATGAAAATAGGTTTTAGTAATTTCGGTTGTAAGGGCCTGAAAAAGGTGACCTTATTCGCGAGCGCTTACTTAGCTCTTAGTTGTTGCAGGGAAGCAATGCAATTTACATATGCCTTGGGAACTGATACTAGAATTTGTATTGAGAAATACAGTGTCCGTAGAAGTCAGGTACTTGTAGTCAAGAGCCAACACTTACGTCTGTAATTAGGTATTCATTGTTAAGAGTATACAGTTTAAAACATCTGGTAAGCACATTTGCAGTTCTAGAAACACAATTTACAAAGTAATTAGGTTTTTTTTCTGTAGAGAATTGAATTTTCATCATTTAGGTATTAGGTATTTGTACTTAAGAGTAAGATAACGTAAAAGTGAGGCACTTTTATGTACATGGTGTAATTTGTATCGAAGGATGCCGTTTCCATGAATAGAATTCGTAGTTACATAGCAGTGAGGTTTGTGTAGTGGAGAATACAATTTACTTCGTGCAATACTAAGTTGCGAGAAGAGTACAATTTAATAACTTAGTTAGGTACCAATATTTGTAATTAATATTTTAGCGTAAAATTGTTGGCTATTTATCCTTTTTGTGAAAGACTTGCTTTTTTCTTTTGAAGATTTTAGATTTTTTTCAAAATCATGTGATTTTCGAGTGGCACAGCCGTGACCGACAAGGCAATGCAACGCAGATAGATATTTTCAAACCGGCTTATACATATGTATTTATTTATGTAATTGTTTTCTGAAACTCATACATGCATGATAATTATATAGCTATATTAAATACTTTGAAACCGGGTGCACTTAAACATATCAATGATTTTTGTGGTCAGTCACTTTTTGAGTGCTAAGGTGTCCCCTGAATGAGGGTTACACTTTTGTATATATTGTATAATTACATTTTACTATTTATTACTTAGCTTTTTACAAATTCATAATTCAGATTTATGTTAATTTCCTCATTTTACTTTTATATCAGGCGGAGAGCCATACCATGGATGTACTGATATTAAACCGTTATTATTATTATTATTATTATTATTATTATTATTATTAAGAAAAAGTGTCCCTCTCCCCTGAATAGAGGTGTCCCTTCAATAGAGGACCAAATTTGTGTCCCCTGAATGGAGCTGTCCCTTGAATAAAGGTGTTCAAAAGGAGAGGTTCCTCTGTTTACATGTCTTCTATTAGGATATTTCTCGAACCGACTAAACAACGATTTTTTTTATTCTGAAATGGATAAGTTTGAATGTACTTTTGGCACTTTTGTAAATGTTTTGATATCCTTGAACCTATATGCAGTACATAGCTCGTATAAGCTCTCATAGCTCTGAGCATAGTAAAAGTGTTCTATTCCATCGTACATGTATCTAGAATAAATATAACCAGTAAGTATGAGACGAAATATAGGTCTTAGAAGCCAACCTGTGATTGGTTCAATTAAAAAATAAGAATTAGTCGATTTAGTGACAAATCTCGCCGAATGCACCTTTTTGTTCCTTGCAAACATTCCGGTTGCATAGTTTCTTTCATATACCGTAAATCCTCTCATAGCCCCCCGCCCCCCCCCCCCCC